TGCAAGTGAAAAATTAGTATATGTATATTTTTTGTTACATACAAGGAGTCTTTTATAAAAAGCAGTAATTTGTTTAGATTAAAAATAAAGAGTACATGCATATGTAATAGGAAAACAAACGCACTATAACGCAATCAACCGTATTTGACGTGCAGTGCTAACACATTTTTTCATTGGAAAAAAGTGTAGCAAAAAGGCAGGATTGGAAAAAAAGGCGCCGCATACAAATGGAATTCTACCCCCACCAACAACAACCACATACTACTCAGCAAGTGGACGACGGTTCTCTATCCGGCCCGGCAACTAACACAAATACTATCAATAGTAACAACAGCAATATCAATATTAACAACGTTCGTAGCACAAACATTACCCCGCCCACCTCAAATACAATCAGTTCAGCAGCAGCAGCCGTTTCCGTCGACGCTGCCACTGTTGCTATCGCCAAGGATATGCTCCAATTGCATCATGGCAGTGGTGCGGCACTAACCAATAACAATAATAGTAACAGCAACAATACTAGCAACATCAGTAATAACAACCATAATAATAGCTCTGCCCTGGAGGCCATGAATACAACATCATCCTCTAACGCCAACACCAATTCGGTAGGTCCTGCAGCTAGTAGCAGCAGTACAGCCAATAGTGGTGTCGGCGGAGCGAACGATGGTTCAATCAGTGCACCAACAACATTGATTACCAATCACCCACCTGCCAATGCCTCCGACGGCAACAGCAACACCACCAATTCGGGTGGTAGCGGCACTGACGTTTCAACGGCACCAGACAATGCGCTCGGGTTTCTAAAATACGACCAGGAATTGCTATACATTCTTGAGCCTATAACTATTATCGGACGAAACTCGTCCACATCACACGTGCACTTTCATGTCGCCGAGAACAATTTGGTGTCGCGAAAGCATTTTCAAGTTCTTTACGATGGAAATGCACGTGACTTCTTCGTGCAGTGTCTAAGTAAAAATGGCATTTTCGTTGATGACTTCTTGCAGCGACGCAATGCTGATCCGTTGAGATTGCCTAACAGGTAAGTTTGATCAACTTAGTTTTTTAATGTTGAGGCATGAGTTTTTCATGTATTCGTAATTTTTAAGGGCGGGAAAACAAAAAAAAATTAATCTTTTGCGAATTCATTAGCAAGTGTTGCAAGTATGAAATTCAAAAACTTTCGAGCTCTGCCCATATATGACTCCACAAATTTAATACATATTTGGTCTCTTTTTCTTTCAACTAAACATAAGCCAACATAGAGATAAGTCGGAAGCTTTATTTAAAAAATTACATAGGCCCCTATTATGATTCACAACTTTGATGATAGTTGAGTTGTAAGTTGTAAATTGGTATTGTGGGACACAACCCAACTCAACTTTGAAAACGTAGTTGTCTGTCACCAACATCTTCGGGCTCATCGGTAAAACATAATTCGTAACTGATTTCAATTTTTTGCTTTTAATTTTTTTAATATCAACAAAATAACATAATATTATTAAAATATCAAAATTTGTATCAAATTTCCTACTTTTTCGATGGCTACAGTCAACTGAAAACAGTTGTGAACGGCAATAGCAATAAATAGTTGAGTTGTATACAGTTGTATCAAACACAACTCAACTAAGTTGGGTTGTGAACCATAATAGGGGCCATAATTTTTACAAAATACATTATAGTTGAACACAGTTACGGGACTGCTTATACTCATTACTTATTATACTGAATTTCCATTAGGCATTGAAATGACCAAAAATTTGTCCCATTTGAAAAATGCCGCGTGGAAATGGCAATTTTTGTTAACATAATGAAGGGAATTTTTTAATTCCCAATTTTCATGTTGTTGTTGTTGTAGCGGCTACTACAAAAAAGGATTCGAATCATTGGGCTGTATGCATTGAAAATAAGTAACTGCGTTTTCTTAAATTTCACTTAGATTTATTTGAACAAATCGAGCAAAAGTCTGAAGTTTTCAGAAAAAGCATTTGCTGGGTTTTATACATACTAAACATTACAAAAGTAATGATGCAAAGCCCAATCACTTAATGCCCTGTGGAGATCCGGCATAAGGAGTATATATATATAAATAGAGATTTTATGATCTTCAAACAACCACCTAATCAAGCTTATTAATAAATCCATTTTACCCTTTTTCAGCTGTTACTTTCGCTTCCCTAGCACCGAGATACGCATACAATTCGAAAGTTTTGTACGCGGTAGCACTTCAAGTGCCGACGCTCTAAATAGCTCGACCAGCAGTGGCACATCCGTTCCGTATCATAACAACAGCCATCAAAATATAGCTGTCCTACACAATAGCACTGGAGTTAGTGGTGGTGGAGGTGGCGGCCCTGCTCAATTTATTATTTCGCCTGCGCCACCCGATGATCATCATCATCATCCACATGCGGTGACTGGTTCTTCAGCGCATGCGTCAACACATGGCTCTCATCATCAGCAACACCATGTGTCCTCAAATGCGGTGTCGTCGTCGACTCACTTGCTACCGCACATGGATAATTCAAATGTGTACTCGCCACTAAAGATATCCATACCGAAGAAGGAGCAGAAGAGCCCATATTTATCACCAACTGGCAAGTGGAATTTGTACTGTCTCTGTTAGACTAACAAGCAAATGGTGTGCACACGTGCATGCATACACTGAGAGAAGACAATTATTGTACTATACATAAGTTGTTGCAAACGCGCACTGCGTAGCTTCATTTTTTATTATGTTTTAGTAAAGTTGCAATTGTCTTTTTTTAACTTTGTGCCCCTCTATTTTTGTTTTGCTATTATTTATTGCATACTAACGTTATTAGGTACGCTGCACTTAATGTAGTGTAAACAAATGAATATACAAAAACAGTGAAATTGGAAACAAAAGCGGCGCTTTGCATGTCCGCCGCAAAAACGAATTGGAACAAAACAAAAGACAAAACACTACACTATCTGCCTGTGAAATTGCACACGAATGTAAATACAATAATTGTACATGTGTGTGTGCTACAATGTAAAATTTGCACGATTTGCGTACACTAATGCGTAATTATTTATCTCTGCGTTATTTACTTGTTCACAGTTTCACATTGATCTAAATTAAATTTAGAAATTTTGTAATATCAGGTGCTTGGTAGAAGAGGGTGTGATTTTATTGCGTGTTAAATTAAACGGAAAGGGCGCTGCACGTAAGTGTGTACATATGTACATACATATATATGTACTTATATACTAACTCATATAGTCGCTGAAGTGCAAAAAAGCTTTAACCGACTAAATTTTATAGCTCCAAATGATATGGGAACTTATTATTCGATGAAATGCATCGTAATCAATCAAAAAGGGAATTTTGGATTTTTACTTAGTTACGCCTTTTTGTATTTCAGACCTTTCTATATTAAGGTAACGATATGTACATAAATATGTATTTAGGTCGCGATTCACAAATGCTTAGTTGATTTTTCAATTACTGGGAGTACACTTGTAAATATGTATTTAAACACATACTTGTGTACATACATGCATTTTTTAAGAGTAATGCGTTTATCGAAAATTTTACGAATAAGTGCATATCGGCACCTGAAATGCAAATAGACGTAACAACATCGTAAATGAAATGGAAAAAGTGGTGAATAATATTTTATTTATTTCTTCATAAAATGATGTGGATAGTTGTAATTCCATGAAATCCATCATATAAATCAAGAAGTTAATTTTGAATTTTTGTATTAGTTATGACGTTTTGCATTTCAACGATAATGTTTGTTACGTCATTTTGCATTTCTGGTGACGATATGTATGCATGAGAATCTCAGCCTTATTATTAACTTACAATCTTAAAAAAAAAATGGAGGTAGACGTAGCGTAGTCAAATTACTACAAGTTAATTGACCTTTTCTCATTAATTAGATTTATTTTTTATTTTTTTGTCACACCAAATGATCTACATACATACGCTGGTAAACGTGTACATAACCTATTTCTTTGGTGGCCTCTGTTATTATTATTTAGGAAGTGTCTATTTACAAGCGCCAAGGTAACAATTTACCGCAAATCTACGCCAAAAAATTACCGCAGATCCACAGTAAAAAATTACCGTATATCTACGATAAAAGAATTACCGTAGAGAGGGAGATCCACGGTGAAAATAACCGTAGATTCACGGTAAAAAATTGCGGTACATCCACGGTAATTTCTAAAGGTAAAGAGCGAGGTTATGCAGAAAGGAGAATTCTGCGGAGTAAGGGTTTTAATGTCTTATGTAAGGACTGTGCATGATGTTGTGGAAATGGTCTTGGATTTACAGAGGAAATTGCATTTGAAAATTGTATGCTTGTTGTCATGGCAACCGTGTGCATCTTATTGTTGTGCATTGCCAAATGCAACGAATATGCAATTGCAAGAGCATATTCACAAGATCCAGAACAGCACTATAGTGTCGTTACGAGAAAAAAAAATTGGTATTAAATTTCTTCAAAACTAGAGGTCCCCGCACCTTTGAAAAAGAGGGTGGTGAGGTCTCCAGCTTTCCAACGGTTCCAATTTTACCAATAAAATCGGAGGTATTTAAATTAAAGTTTCCTCAAAAAATAGATAACTTCGCATCCACGGTAATTTTCTTCGGTTAAAAAAGCAGTTATTCGCGCACTTCTAAAATCACCGTGAATCCATTTTTTATCTTGGATACATGGAAATTTTTTACCGTGGATCTACTGTAATTTTTACCATGGCGCGTGTGTTTACATACTGCCTATTATTTATTACATAATTCGATTAAATCCTTCTCTTAAAAGTAGTTCACTTTACTAATTATTTAAAATTTTAACAGCATTCTCTTAAGTTGAGCTTTTTTCCAGCACATTTAGCCATTGCATTACTAATACAAACATCTCTCTTTTTTAATTATACCACAGGTACAATAAGTGCTGCTAATAGTTGCCCAGCCAGCCCGCGTCAAGGTTTTCATCAGAACCAAGCCAACTACAATAATTATAGCAACAACAATTTGCAAAACGTAAACATTTTTCTATGACACAAACACAATACACATTTGTATAAACATTAACCTATGTTTCTTTTACTGCCTTTGCCTCATTCTCATTACAGCAAGATCTATTCCAAA